GGAGTTCAGGGGTCAGAGTTGCTGACAGATGAAGACAGCAGGCAATATGCCCAGCTTCTAGAAATGAGTGGTTTCTTTACTTGAATGAAGCTTATCACATGTGTAAAGGACATAGCTTGGAGCAGCTGCCATTTCTGGTACTGGTTTGTGATACTGCAAGACAGAGTGGCTTCCCAAGTACCAGCTGTATGTTTTGTGAAGCTTTATTATAATTATTTAGCAGTTTCCTGCATGGCTTTTTTTTTTGTGTGTGTGTGTCATTTTTTTGAACTGAATGTGTATCTTTGCTGTTTGCTGTTGAGCATTGACCCAGAAGTCCAGCGTGCTTCAAATAGAAGACAGCAGGCTGTCCTTTGTCCACAAGTGGTCAGAGTGTCACAGAGCTCTTGCCTGCTGAGATGGATGGCCATGTATGAAATACCTAGGAACTCCATTAGCATGATATAAAAAAAGAATAATCTTTATCTTGCTGCTTTTTGTGACTGACCTCTTTAGTAACTCCATAGTGCTGTGCTCTCAGAACTTGGTTCTTTGCTATATTCCTCCTAAGACATCTGGAGAAGAGAAGCACATGGAATTGTAAAAAGTGTATTCATTTGCCTTTAATTCTGTGTTGTGGCAATTGTAGTGTCGTGAGGCCAGCGCACACGGCATCGTTTAATCTTGCATGTGGCCTGGACTTGCAAATTCAGTTTTCTTGCTGTTAGTTATTCCCAAAGTGAGCCAACTCGGGTGGGAGACCTGGACACAGAGGAATTCTCTGTTCTGTTGAACTCCTTAGTGTGTGTGATTGTGCAATGGTTGTCACTCTTGCTCCAGAGGTTACTCCTGCAGGGAGTAAACTTCCTGAGACCATGGGAAATCACCACTCCTTTGTTTCTGTTTTTAATGGAGCATGTGACCACAACAGTTACTGATGCTCCCAGCTTCCCAGGAAGCCCAGCTTCCTCACTGGTGGCTGCTGGCATGGACCCCTTCCAGCCTGAGAGCCTGGGGCATCGCACTCACCCTGCGCAAGGAAGAGCAGAGCTCCAAACGGCAGATCCTGCTGTGCTACTTTCAGAAAAAGAGGAGGTGAGTTTTTTTGGTTTTTTTTTTTTTTTCTCTTTTAAGAGATCAAAATGTGCTGGAACATAACAGGAAATTGCACAATAAGCGATGTCCCAGCAGCAGCTTTCACTGGTGAGGTTTTTTTGTGGATGTTTTTTTTGTTGTTGTAGTTTTTTTGGGTTTTTTTTGTTTGTTTTGTTAGGGAAAAGCTGGAGAACTTGCCAGAGGTTTTTAAGCTCATGTGTAGAGTTGGTCAGAAAAAACATCTCTTTTGTGCCCGTATAATTTCACTTACTGATGGTCTATTCCTTTGGCAGCTAGAGAAGTGAAGTAGTCAGTACTTAGGGAGTATGGGATATTAATTAGGGTTGTGATTTGCCCAGTGGAAGATAGTTTCAATTCTAAGGGAAGAATAAAGTCTTTAGAAAAGATCAAGACATATATTCAACAATCAAAAGAGGAAAGTACCCATTTGTTCAGACATTCGTTGCTTTTGTTTCTGAACCCTGTCAAGGAAACTGAGTTACACAGGTTTGCTTCTAACACCTCAGAAGACCCATGACCTCAGTGCTGATCAGGTGCAACACCTTGGTTTCCAAACTGCTTTAAATTTGATGTAGAAAGGGTCAGAACAGACATTAGACAAACTCAAAATTTTGAGTATCAGAGTGAGAATGTATTTCGTCATGATATTCTAAAAGGACATTTAAGAGCCTCCAGAACTTGGAGTTCCTTATATTCTTTCAATTTTCACAGTTGCTAACTTGGATGTTTTGAAGTATAGGGATGTCCTGACACTTAGGGATAATATCAAACATCAATCCAATCTTCAAAGCAGTATTTTTATAGTGAGGCAAACACTGAATTCTAATGCAAGCTAAAGCCCAGACACCACAGGATCAACACCAGGAACTGGCAGTCCCTGCATCTCTGCTGTTTGTGAGACCTGTCAAACGCAGATTCCTAAATTCATTTAACTGTCCTGTTTTGTGAGGTGCTCTCTCGGTCACACACCCATCGGGGCTCCTTCAGTGCCGGATAGAGAACGTGGTTACATTCTGCACGGCTCCATTCTCATTCTTTCTGCTTCCAACCTCTGGAGTTCTCTGGGCAGTTTTCAGTCTCTGCTGTTCCATTTTGCTTTTGGCAATATTGTCATTTTGTTGCTTATATTTTTTCAGTAAAGCATGTTAGGAATGTTATGGATGTCTTCAAGGCAAAAATAGTGTGGCATGAATACGTAAGAGCTTTAACAGTCTCAGAACAAAAAGGAAAGGTATGAAAGTAGATTTGCAAAGGGATACTGCTTAAGTTACTGTGTATTATCACAATACTATTATTGTGCTTTAATAGCTTTTTGCTTTTTTTTTTTAATAAAAAAATACAGCACTGCAGCATTTCTGGCCTGCTTTGAAGCTGCTAACACCAGGCCCCATTAAAGCAATCAAGCTGGATGGGCAATGACTTGGTAGTAGAATACAGGTGAAAGGTGAGTTGCATGAAAAGGAAAGACGTGTGGGAGGAAGGCAGAATGCTGCAGGCCCCAGGTGTGGTCATACAGTTGGTCCACATCTGCCCTACAGCAGATCCCAGTTAGGGGGCACCAAGTGCAGTTGTCTCTTGCTCTGGGAGGGGTTTGAATCCAACCTCCAAGAAGTGGTATCAGCGAGGGTGCAATATTTCATCAAATACAGGTGGGAAGAGCATTGTGGACAACATAAAAGCAGTTACAGGTTACTCTTTGATGGCCTTCATATACCAGACTTAAACAAGTAGGTCCCAGCTCGCTGGAGTTCTGGTTACTTTCATTGCACCAGTGTTATACCCTGGCTCCCTGCAGAAGATCTCAGCGTAATTATACCACGTTTAGGAGTAAATGGCAGATTAAGCAACATATTGCACTTCCTGGGAATGAGTGTGGGTTGCGTTGGAGTTGGTGTGTTTGTGTTGTGTTTGGGGCTGAGCTGGCCGCTACATCGAATGGCAGATGCTCTCTAACTTCCCTCCCACCTGAGAGAAGAATGAGAGAGACTTGTGAGTTGAAAAGAAACTAAACTAATGAAATAATAGAAAGAAAAGATAACAATATCAGAAAAAAAAAATGAAATATATACAGTATATTCAAAACCATATCGAGCTCCCTGGATGATCATGTCATTGGCAGGCACTGGGAAAAGTCCCAGATTGGACACAGTGCCAGGTGGGAACTGGAGTCCGTACCACATGGATCAGAATCAAGGGCAGGCAAACAGACAGGGTCCTCCTCGGATGCTGACCACTGGAGAGAGAACAGACCCTTTGGTCCCTCAGGTTTCATACTGAGCATGGGGCAGTTGGGATGGAATACCCTGTCGGTCAGTTTTTGGTCACCTGTCCTGTCTGCTCCTCCCCACAGGTGGGACCCCTCTACGCTTTTCTGTTTCAGACCCTCCAAAGTGAGCTGAGCTTGGTTGTTATGGAAACAAGTCTAAGTGAGAGCCTCTCTGCGAACCATTCCTTGGCATGAACGACAAACATCAGGTCTTATCTACTAGAAGTGGAAGCTGTTTGAAAAAAGTAGGCCATTAATTTCAGAGAGTTAGAAGAGGCTTAACTGAAAAGTAAAATTACTGAAAAGAAAATTGTTTCTGTTTTACCTCAAGCCCTGACAGTTTGGGATTGGGGAATTTTTGAAAAAAAAACCCACAAAATCACAGCCCTTGGTAGGAGTAGGACGTCAGCATGCTGATGGGTGAAAAGCTGGACATGAGCTGACAACGTGCACTTGCAGCCCAGAAAGCCAGCCACAGCAAAAGAAGCGTGGCCAGCAGGTCAAGGGAGGTGAGTCTACCCCACTTGTCCACTCTTATAAGACCCCACCTATGGTTCTGCATCCAGCTCCGGGGCCCTCAGGACAGTGGGTTGGAGCAGCTCCAGAGTAGGGCCACAAAAATGACCAGAGGGCTGGACCACCTCTCCTGGGAGGACAGGCTGAGAGAGTTGGGGTTGTCCAGCCTGGAGAAGAGAAGGCTTCAGAGAGACCTTACTGTGGCCTTTCAGTGCTTAAAGGGGCCTACAGAAAAGATGGGGACAAACTTTTTAGCAGGGCCTATTGCAATAGGACAAGGGGTAATGGTTTTAAATTAGAAGAGGAAAGCTTAGACCAGAGAGAAGGAAGAAGTTTCCTTACAGTGAGGGTAGTGAAACACTGGAACACGTAGCCCAGAGAGGCAGTAGCAGTGCCATCCCTTGAAACATTCAAGCTTAGGTTGGAGGGGGATCTGAGCAACCTGATCGAGTTGAAGATGTCCCTGCTCATGGCAGGGGAGTTGGAATAGATGACCTTTAAAGGTACCTTCCAACTCAAACTATGATCTTGATGTGTTTGAAGGGCTAAAGTACTATTACTGATATCTGACCTAAGGTAGTGATGTTCTCTAGCCATTGGATGACTTCTCAAGCCTGTAGCATTAAGTGAAATATATTTTAAGCACACAAACACATGAATATTAAGGATTAAAAATGAGTATAGGGGTTGTGTGAGTGCTGGTGATGGGCTTAGAACATGGCAGTGTAAATGCAGTTCGGTGATGTGCCACCAGAGGGACTCCTAAGCAAGACAGAACTATGAACTGCTGCCTCCCACTTACCTTAAACTTCACATTTACTTTCCGAGGGTAAGATTTATCAGTTGCACATTACTTTGTCTGGTATCTGACCACCTGAAAGGTTGTATATTTGCACTGGCTCATCTGAAATCTTAAGCACATATTTTCCTCTATGCTAGTAATGAGATTACAAAATAACAGTACAAATGATTGAGCTGGGAAAAAGAGCACTAGCTCTGGTATTCTGCCATTGAAAAGTACAAATATATATATACACTGAACACTTCTTATCCAATGGCTGTGGAAAGGGTTGAGGGAATTATGAAACTGTCTAGTAAAATAAAAATCCAACTGAAATCAATATAGTAACTCCAAAGATTTCATTTTATTTATTCATCTGTACAACAGAGGTGAGACAATCCCAGTATCTGAGTTGGACTAAATTGTCTTAATTTCCACAAAGTAAGGTACTGCAGTTCTGGGGAAGAGCCGTTTCTAAACTCTTCAAGTCAAAACTGGAAGTTTTCCACCGAACAGTCACAAAAGTTACTTCAAATCACTCTTCCCCCTGTACCTCAATCTCAGTGAGAACCAAGGCAGCCCCACTACCCGCATTCCAGGTGTGGGGCTGGTGCCATTAAGGCTCCTCATTAGCCACGGTTTGCTGGAGGCGGCTGTGCCTCAGACACAACAGGATTACTGCTCCCTGGGAAAGAGGAAAAATACTCCAAATGGTCACTTTAACCTTGCCTGTCAGAAGAAACTATTGCTCAACCAAAAAAAATTTAAGCTGTGCCAGAGCTGAAGTCTTATTTCCCCCGATGCCTTGTGCCCCAGCCCCCTGACAGACTGGGGTGGCTGTCACCACCCCCTGCCTGCACCCCGAATGGTGGACTGGTGCCAGTGGTCAAGTCCCACCACAGCAACCCTCTCCAGGAGGTAGAGGTCTACACGTGGAGCCTGAGCAGGGCTGGAGGAGTACTCAGTGACACCAGGAGATGCAGGCCTGCGTTTCTTGGTCCTTGCTCTGGTTTCCTTACACCAGTGTCAGTGGGGAGCCCATCTGCTGAGGACAGCAGGGTTACCTCAGAGTGACCGCAGAAGTGACATGGAAGCAGCATCAGTCATCTCCCACAGGGCCCCCAGGGTATTTGGGCCTTCATCTAAAGGTCTTCTGAGAGGTGCCACGTTGCCTTCAGTGGACTTTTGACCAGACCTTGGTACATGTGTGTAGCAGTACCAATTTCTGAAAATCGTAAAAATGCAGATTATATTCTTCTAAAATGTTATCTTACAGGTTTTCCAGTTCTCTGCTTAAGTTTCAATGTTTATCAAATGCTACTAAAACATAAAACTTCATAATAATAAAACCCAAGAGTGAAGCAATTGCTACACTCAACTTAAAAGCCAATTTTTAGAAGCAATTTTCATATGATGGTACAATTACTTTTTTCCATTTTTATTTTGCCTTCAATTGCACATGCTTCATTAGGACATGCGAGAAGAAAGAAGCTATGGATGGCACAGTCTGTTCTCTTTTAAGGAGCCATTTAGAGAAAAGGGTTGTGGATGGGTACGGCCAGTCTGTCCGTGCTTCCTGCGGCTGGTCCCACTGCAGAGCCTGTTTCCTGTTAAGGAAAGTCTCTGCAGGTCACTGGTGAGCTAATGACTGAAGTTTAAAGTACAAATTATCACCTTCTATGCAGTTAGCAAGCCATGTCCCTTTATAGCCTAATAAAAAAATAGCTGAATTGTTCACAATCCAAAATTTCTAAACTAAAGTTCACACCAAACTTAAAAATAAATACAATTTAATATAAAATATTGGGAAAAAACCAAACCATTTTACTTGTAAAAACCTATGCTTGGTCTCAAAGCTATCCTATTTAACCTACTGAATCCATTTGGGAACATACTGGATTTATGCAGTATGTAAGAAATAACTGAACTTAGAATTCCAATGATGCAATCCACTGTGCTAGTAATTAGCTATTTGAGAGACTTGTGTGTGTACCTTAATATTACTCAATGTGTGGTTTTTTTAAATTTAGTTACAAATGCTGGAAAAAGAAAATGCTGTCTCTATGAAGTGCTGAGTTCTTCTTCTTATAAAAGCAAATGCAAAAAAAACAGGATTTTTAAAGAGCTTCTCAACATTTTGCAGGATCACGCCCAGGACAGGTTTAGAGACTGATCATCTTAACGAAAGGAACTCTTTCAGCAGTGAGTTACAACAGCTGCGACAGGATGTCTTCCCTGAGGTCTCTTTAAATGATGGCATCATGTTCATCACTGTAATAGAAACACAGTAATTAATCTTCTGCAGTACAAGGAACAGTCAACATGAGAAACAGCCATCCAGCTGCTGCTGAGAAGGTTATTTTGTCAACAGAGAGCATCTTGTTGGGAAGGGCTAATGGCACGTTGATTTGGGAGTTACACTCTTCCCTGAGCTGAGCCTGGAATTAAGAATTTCATTTTGTCAACACTCCTCCAGCTTTATTACCCTTATTAACATTTTGGCTTTCACATTTAATTCACGTACATATTTTTTAGATGAGTTGTTGCTCAGCCATTTTTACTCTATCTATCTTTTCTATATGCAGTAGTAACAGGTAACCAAAGCCAGTTCAGAAGCTCAGTGACAGGTTTCCTTTGTTTTAAAGACACTGTTGAATCTGAATTCTACAATGTCTGTTCAAATGCTACTGTGGGTAAACATGTGCAGCAAGAACTTGTTGAATTCCATGACCTGCAAGCAGGAGTCAAGATGGGGAGAAAACACAGGGCCTAAACACTAGCATCCCAACAAGTCTAATGACATCACCTCACTTAAGCTTCTCAACTTACATTGATGATACTGGATAGGAAAAAGAAAAGCAATCTAATTTTAAGAATTCCCAGTTCTTAAAGTAAACGGGGGACAAGGAGGGAAGTCTGGAAGAAAACTGAGTAGAGCTGAGTATAAATGGTAAATGGGATGGTACAATTTTGATTGAACTATTCACTACAAAAGGGGTGAGACACAAGATAAGTCAAAAATCATAGATTTCTGATGTGTTCTGTGCTCTCAGAAAGGAGAGGAAAAAAGTAGCTCCACAAAGAATAAACACACTCAAGAAAGACTGGACCTACTACCTCCTGTCCCACAATCTGGTGTCATAAAGGAGACCGGTTGCCTGGAAGAAATTGGTGGCAGAGAATCTGTTTAAATCAGTGTTTTTCAGCTTGTAGTCTACAGACTGTCTGAAGCCTACAGACAACTTCTAAAGGGTCTTGAAAAGATAACCAAGAAAAGCAAGCATATTCTCAATAGCTTTGGATTTGCTGTAGAGCACCTACACTCCACAGGGAAAACACCAGCAGCCTGCAGCTCAAGGGAGGTTGAAAGTCACTGGTGTACAAAGAGTTAAACAAGTGACTTTTTGGTGGGATGCAGCCTGTGCAGTGTTGTACCCACAGCACTGACTGCTCTACCTAAGACTCTTCGCTGCCCTCACAGTCAGTGAACACAAAACCATATGGATAGGCTGACTCATCTGACAGATTTATCCTACTTTAGGGTAATAAGAATGATATGAAATGACTAATTTAGATGCAGATGCCTGTATTTGGTTAAATGAATGCTACTTCTCATTTCATGGACTTGTGAAAAGTCCTTAAAGCAGGTTCATTGCATACGATGTCATGGACAGGTTTCTGGAGTTGAGAACAAGATAACACAGAAAACGAAATATTAGAAACCAACCAGTTGGCCTGCCTGTATTGCAAGGTGGGGCAAAAGTCTGAGCTGACAATTAAATATCATGCTTTTAAAAATGTGAATAATGGCCATATTGCCTTTGAATGTTTTCTGTGACAGTAAATAAACAAATCAATTCAACTGTGGTGGTTTAACAATGTGGAACATTAGGTATCTGGCTTTAAAACTGCCTGCTCAAACTAGACTTAAAGGTACACAAAGTGTGATACAAAGGAGAGATGTTAACAGTTCCCACAAGGTGTCATATAGGTAATATAAAATAGAGCTACTACAAAAAAAATAATATTAAGGGGAAGGAAAATACCAAAGAGTGAGGAGACAAATAGAGAGTCTAGGAGAAAGCATGAGAGGAACCAGAAGTCTTGCCAATTACAGCAACCATTTCAAGGAAACATTTGCTATTCATAGAATAGCTAGAGGACAAGGATCCTTTGGAAAAAAAAACAAAAAACAACAAAATGATTTTATATAATAGATCTGAATAAAAACCCACACAGAAGAGAGACATAATAATAATGAAAAATAGCTGAAGTGGTGAAAGACAAAATATCACAGTTAAATCTCTTAATGATATTAATATAATGTACATTAAACAAATGTATATATCATTGGTTTTGTTTGTCCTTTTTCCCCTCAAGAAAGTAATACACTGACAAGGGACAATCCCTTGGGAACTTACATGGTTCTGTACTGAATGCCTCTTCTAGAATGATAGGTTTTGCATCCAATGTAGAGAATAACTAGGACTCCAAGTGTCAGCACAATGCCACCTACAAAACTGCCCACATCAAATCTGGAGGTTTTGGCTACAACAGCCTCAGATTTTGATGTGGCTGAAAAGAAGAAAACAAAAGGCACTTTTTACAGAGCTTGCAACATTGCACTTTGAGGGACTCCTCTATATCCTGCCCTCACTATTGACCTGTCACCTAAAAAACCAAGTAGACAAATTTAACATAAAATCAACTGGGAAGATACCAGCCAAGCACACTGAAACTTAAGAGTTCCGTTTTTAAGTGCCAGATTCTGGTGACAAAGGAGCAGCTGATCCAACTAGTTGCTGTCTCTGCAAGACTGACTGCCCCTTCTCCTCCCCACCTCCATCTTTCCCCTTCCCTTTTCCCCCCTGCAGCTCCTGCCCTTCTTAGGCCAGTTCTAGTGTTTTTCATACCCTCCATGAGCCAATTTAACTCCCTAAGATGGCCTGAAATTAACCCAAGCAGAAAAGGAAGTTGCTTTTAGCCAGATGAGGATGGTGGGTGTGCCTGCAGAGGGGTACAACAACCACCAAGTCAGTCAGCCTCGTTACACGGTGGGAGTAAAGTACTTTTGGTGGTGATGAGCTCTTGGATTGCTTTACCTTGTCTCATGGGATTGTACCCTCCACCTTGCAATGGAGGGTACATCTCACGGAATTACACCTGATCTCCAAGTGAGATCAGCTCTGCAGCCCAACACAAATATTGACATAGATAACATGACCTCAGATAAGCCATAGCAATTTCCATGTGAAAACTGGTTTTATCTGCTACAACCTCCCACCAAAATACCCAGTCTGTGCCCATCTCTGTTTGTACTTGCCACAGGGAGCGTTACGTGGCCAACTAAAAGGTCTGCTGATGACAGCTTTACCTACTGGACAAGGCTTCACTGACACGTGAGCAACCCCCAATCTGTTTGTAAGCGTGAATGGTGTGAACGAGCCACTAACTGCAAGGAAATGCTGAATTCTACACTTGTGGTTTTTGTATTAAAGGGCACTGTCAAACTGTATTTGACAACTTTTACACATGGTGTGACTCATTCATAGTCATGCTCTACCCTCCATTAGGGATAAAATTCATTACATGGCTATAAATGTAGCTAACAGGGCTCCCAAGCCAGGAGAGCTATTTGGAGCCACAGCTCAGCGGTGAAAAAGGAAGTGTTAGAGATGAGTTCCAGCAAGCTGTAGAAGGGAGAGCTGAACAAATACAGAAGTTGTATTCAAAAGCCAGGTTTTCTCCTAACATTGTAATCTCCTTGCTGGTGGCTGCTGGTTCAGACTACTCACACTTATTTTATTTTTTTCCCCCCTAAATATGTCAGGTGTCTCAGGTTAAGTGAAGCCTTATTTAAGGAAGTGGCGTGCCCAGAGCAACATCATCGCAGCCAACTTAATAATAAAACCCCACCTTATTTTTGTTTTTCAGCATACAAATACCTTCTTTCTTTGTTATATTACTGAAAACCTAACAATTCTACAACACATCAACACGTATACAAGCCTCTATGAGCTTCCTGAAATGTGAACTCACCTGTTACAGAAGTGAAAGAAGCCTTGGAAGTGGTCACCACCGTACTATTGGGTTGTGATGATGTGACTGGTGAAGCTGTGGTGGATCTCGTTGTCTGGCTGGTTTTGGTGGACTCAGTTGTTAAGGCGGTAGTCGCAGTGGTGGTGGGCTGCCCGGTACTGGTCAGATGAGTAGTATTCGTGGACAAACCTGGGAAATTTTTGTTTGTGATATCACACAGAAAAATACATGAAAATAATAAAGTGTATACTCATTGAAAATAAGATAGCATTTCTCATGCCCAAACAGAATGACAGAGTAACAATGAGAATGCTGCTGCGTGGATATCCAGGCTTGCACAGACTCTTCCCCTATGCCTTTCCTTTGGAAAGACCTAACTTCTGATTTCTGGGGCTCAAGGTCAGAAATGGTTTAAAGGAAAAGCTGTAAAGAAAACCTGGATAACATCTGATAACTTTTACAAGGGTCAATTTTTTTTTTTTTATCACATTATCCAATTCCATAGAATCACGTTTAACTTACAGTATTTTAAAATATGATAAAGTGCTGGATCAAGAGTAACTTCCCATTTAAGGAGCCCAACTTTTCAGGTAACTTTTCTGATTTTGCATGAAAATGCCTCCCTGATTTTTGTAATAACTTAATCTTTAATTTGCTTTTCAATGAAACACGGGTTTTACTAAGGCTGCATAAATATTAAACTTACCAGAGAGAATTCTATATGTATGTTAAACTTGAAGTTCAAAAGGTTTTCCACACGTGATAAAAGTTTGACTGAAGTAAATCTGCTGGCTTGTATCATGTATTTAGTAGTGAGCTGTCTTGCCAAGGTTAAAACAAAGAATGGAATGCTGTTTCACAAGTTTAATTGACACCTAAGGTCTTTAAATTTTACTCTGCTTTTACTTAACACTTCCCCTTCCATCCTCAGAAAGCAATAATGATCTGTTCAGAATAAAAATACCATGAAGCAAAATTCAAGAATAGTAGAGATTAATATTTATAGCAAAATCCTTAGAACCTTAGTAGAAGGCAGACAGTTAGAATGATGTCAAAAATAATTACTTCTTTTTCTAAGGAGGAACTAAGAAGAAACATGAGCCTGTTATGCAACGAACATTTCTCTAAGCAGACAATATGAGGGACACAGCTTTTATGCATGAAGGAATTACAAGGAGAAAAAGCTCCCTTTGTAGCTGTCATCTTCTGCATTATCTCTATAACCTCACACAAGCCGAGTGCATTTTAAACACCAGAAACAGCTTTTCATTATGGACATTGAAATGTCTAATTTTACCCATGTTTTCTTGAAATTGTCTGAAACTAGAACAACTGAATATTAGGGAGTTTCATCACAATTCCACAATAAACCTGATATTAAATTTTTAATACAGCATCTAAAAATGCTTCTGTGGAATAATCTTCCTGCAAGGGTAGTTTAAAACATAAGTAGCTACACACAGAATGCTAAGACTTAGGTATCACTGCTTCCTGTACAGATGTGAACAACAAAAACTTAAAAAAAGACCCCAAACACTATGTCAATGTAAGCATTCAGAAAGCAACGGGCCTACACAACACTTTTCTGGGACACTGAAACAGCCCAATACAGTCCTCATAGAAAATGTTATTTATTTTCCTGTTCTTTAACTGTTACAAATGTATTGTGCCATAACCCTAGGAAACACTTTGAAATGAGCATTCATTGTGATGGAACAGTTGGAGTACTATATTTATGTACTTACCTTGTTACAATTAGGAAATTCAGTTCCTCTATGAAGCATGTGTAAAATACATCAGATAAAATTCAGGGCACATTTTAATACTGACAGATAAACTCCCCAAAGGCACAATGATCTATAAATATCAAATGGTTCTTCATTGTAGGAAATACACAAGGAAATGTCTATATGGAAACCATCTACAGTTATATGGCATGAAACCACACTCGGTAACTGCATTCCTAATGTAAAAGATACCAAAAAGAAAGACAGACAAACCTGAATGCAAGTGTCAAACAATCAATTTTCTGTGTTTTTTGGGTTTTTTGAGCCATTATTTCTGAGGGTCAAACTGGCTTGTGTTTCTGAGCAATATAATGGCTAATGGTTCCACGCATAACATTATTAAATTATGTTAAACAAAGATAGTACTTATTCCATGGGCATTAAATTACACTACAGAAACCCCGAGTCAGCACAAAAAATATCCAAGCAGCTATCCTGAGGAATTTCAGCAAATCTGCACATTATTTTTTCCCCTCTCTTTCCTACTAGCGGTCCTTTTTTTGTACTTTATTATATCTTGTTTCTTACTTTAATCCTTTATCAAGATTACAGCACTTGGTGATGTAATATTTATATTAAGAGTAAAATCTGGTTAATCTCCTACAGACTTATCTTTCATGATGTCTTTAGCATCAGTCATTTCAAAACATCAGTGGGAGGCTGAGGCAGCTGGAGAATTTGGGAAGCTGACATGAATTGGACACCAATCTGTTCTCCTGTGTCTTTGAAAAATCTTAGCTGTACTATTTTACCAGCAGAGTTAAGATGAAAGAACATTTGCTAGCAACATCTGTCCTTTTATCTTTTATTTCCCTAATTACTTTTCTCCAAAAGACCAGCTGGGCTTCATTGAACATCACCCTAAGCAAACCCAGACTGCCTGAGTTAATTTTTATTATTTAAAAAGGATGCATGCCGCAATATAGTTCAGGTTTATGATGCTTTATTTTTAAGAGAGACAAGTATTTTACTTTGTATGCTACCTGTGTTAAAACATTATGTAGCTATGCTATATCCATCAATCAAACTATGTGTAGCACAAAGATAAGAATTCTTAGCAGCACGCTCTACTCCCGTAGTGTTCTAATTTGACATAATGAACACAACTCAAATTCTATAAGCACCATGCTAACATAAAAAAAATATTATTGAATGCTCTTCCTAAAATAAATAACTCCCTTTGCATGGAAAATGACTGAATGAAACACTTGCTTCTGTGATGAAAAGTATCAAAAGGAAAAAGGCAATAAAAGATACTTTAAGCAAAATTAAAGTACATATATCCAGTTGTCTTTATTCTGAAGAGGTTGAGACAGATAATCAAAAGAGATGAACATTGTCTTAAAATCTATGACGTTTCTAACAAAAAAAAAAAAAAAAAAAAAACAAATGCTTGTTTGGTCTTGCTCTGAAACTGAAGTCTTGCCCTCTGGCCAAGAACCAAATGTGCTACCAGATGAATGATAGGGAGACACTGAAGAGCAACATGAAAGTTAGTGAGGCTGCCAAGACTGCACTGTATCACCTTCATATCCAAAGCTTTGTATTGAGTTTTTTAAAAAAAAAAAAAAAAAAAAAGAGAAGGATGTGAATCATAAACCACGTGAAGCCAGGCAGAGCTGCCTGTTAGGTTTGCACTGTGTCGAACAGTAAAGGGCTCGGGCCTCTTTTTACTGTTATTATCCAGACACAGTAAAGCTCAGACCTCTGCAAGAAACCCTTAGTCTGGGCTGGAGTGGAGGGTGAAAGGCTGGAGCAGAGGGTGGGTGAAACACCTGTGGTTAACAATGGCTTTACACATGGGGAAGGCCCTGAGGCAACAAGGTGATTACAAAAATCCCTACACTTTCCAAGTGAGACATGCTTAAACTGGTTACACTGCAGGCAGTGGAATGAGAAACTGCACCACTTCCTGGCTATCAAAAGGTTCTTGCAGAGATTTCACACACCCCACCCCCAACCCCCCCAGCGAGTAGTTTATTCTTAAATAAATAACAAACAACTTCTGAGCGCGGTAGCTGAAAAGTGATCTGGAGACTACAGAGACACGAAGTGAGAGCTGTACTGGAAATGGAATGACATAGCTGGGACCTTACGGTCAGCATAAACCTCTACAAATACACAAACTATCTTCGGGTAGGCACAATATTTCTGTCCCACTTTCACATAGATCTTAGCACAAGGGGGACTCAATTCATGCATGGAACTAGCTTTTCTTCTCTCACGTACAACCTTTTTTATCTATGCAACACAAGTGAACAACTGTACTACATTAATTCTTATCCAGTCTTTACTGACATGCTGAAATATGCCTGTGCGAGTTCTTCCAGAAAATCATTTTTTAAATTTCCTTTTTTAGTAATCTCACATTGACATAGCGAACAATTGGAACGCTGCAAATCCATGTGGATTAATTGTTTGTTTGCGTCCCAGGTTAAATACCCGCTTCCAAACTCTACTAGTTGATCTAGTACACCTATTTCTTCTTTCTACAAAGTTGTGTTTTGTAAACATGTTACTTATGTCATAGCATCATGACTGCAACACTGCTGCCTTGGGAAATCATTCTTACCTACAGTTCTTTTGCCAAGTTGTGAAGGAAAGATGGCAGCGCTAGAACAACGCAAAACTACCTGTGACAGACTGTCCCAGATCTGCCCCTCATGTCTCACTTGAACTCCACTGTTTTGTGCTATGAGCTCTGTAAGGACTATTTTCTATAGTATAAGGTGCCATGAGTCTTACCTAGAAGGAAATGAAGTCTTATTCTTGAAACTCAAGCCCCCAGGACTTCATTATACCCTAAGTCTACTCATTGTGAAATAACATTAAACAGATATGCATAGTTTGCACAGCAACCTATTCATCTTTATTCTATGAAAATGGAAAAAGCTTGCTTAGAAAGAAAGAATGAACATTAAAAAGACCAACTTCTTTCAATTTTTCTTTGAAGTTTTATTTTGATTCCTGTTTTTCAATGGCACTACAAATGTCATTGCTTCTACTGATGAAGGATGTTACCTAAACTTGAAAGATAGCACAGCTTCATTTCAGAGCTGCTTTACACAGTGCCTCTCAGCCCTAAAATGATAATGCCTCTCTCAGAAACCCACTTTTGATGGTTATTTCTTTAGATTTTGTTGTGATCTGGGGTAGGTTTGTAGCTAGCTTCTAGTTTTATAGTAATAGACAAATGTACAGATACGTACCTGCTGCAGATGTGGTTGTAGATTGTGTGGACGATATAACAGTAGAAGTAGATGAACTGCTACTTCCTTCAAGGAAAAAACAAAACAAGAAAAGAAATATTATGAATTTTCTTTTTAACATACTATAATTAAAGTACCCACAACACAATACTCTCCTTGGGTTATCTATGTCTGCAGGCTAAAAGTGGGAATACAGCAGAGAGTATTCCATCTCAAAGCAGATGGTTTTACCTCTCTACAAAATGTTTCCAGATCTCCATGCAGCAAGAGCATAGTGCCCAAATGGTCGGCATCTGAATTCTTTGCATCTCCTCTTTTTGCTCTCTTTCACTTCTATGTCACGCTCTATTCTGCTTGCTGATATCAGCTATACTGTCATTGACTTTCTTGACCTACTTAAACACTGTGGGGTTTTTTTTTTCTTTCCAGTTTTTATTCCTCTATTTCAGTTCCACTTCTGTCCCTCAATCTTTTCTTTCATTTTGCTGCACCCCTGTTACAAACTGGGCTCATGGTAGGAACTTACTGTAGTCGTGTCAAGTACGGACAGAGTGATACCCTGTGAAACATCTTGCTGTGGCCTTATGCTCTCTCTATGCAAAAAGGTGTCCTAAGAATGTACCTGTTTCCAAAGACTTAAATTATAAACCATGTTTCAGTCTTAATGGTTTTGTCCTTCATGCCTTTCTTTAACTTCTACTTTTCCAGTTCTCCTTTTTCTTCTCTCCTCTTCCTACTCATCTCATGTTACTTCTGGGTTTTCAGGCACCCTCCCACTCTCGTTTCTGTCCTCATTGCTGCATCCCTCTTCAATGTTTTACAGGTTAAGTGTCTCTTCCTCCTGGAAAAGACCTACTGGGCTGTTTGGTGACTCCCATTCTAGGAAGCTTCACTGCCCATACTTCCCTCCCTTCGCTCTGCACCGTTGCGTACGCCTGTTCTGTGATTATTCTTTTCTCTGAAGTAACTCATCTTTTACAGCATCCCCCTGCACTACGAGCACCATGCACCTTGCAGCAGCCCCATCGCTTTTCAGCATGGCTGGAAAACGAGGTGCATAGCCTCAGTGATGACAGGAACAGCAACACAGCTACCAGAACCAAGAAGCAAGCACGTTTCCCTTGCTGTATCTGCTGTCCTCACAACTGGAAAAGTCTAGTCTAAAACAGTTTTGTCAACCCTCTTGGCAACTGCATACATGTTACGAGCAAGCTCAGGTTTAAGAACAAATGCAGCAAATTTACACCTTCATAGCACCTACCGAAAAAAGGGGAAAAAGTTACAGAGGGAATGACTTTGCCTTTTCCTTGGTATAATCATAGCCAATTAGCCCCACCATTGAATACTGCACACACAACCCTTATACTGACATACCTGGAATTTTAAATTGCCTATTTAATTGCCTTCGAGAAACAGTCTATGATTGTACAATTACAAACACATTCTTTCTTGGATATGTTGACTTTTATACCAGCATAAGCCACGGATACGCCTGGGGCTAAACCTTTCCCACACTGGCCTAATACTATAACCAGAAAACAGCTTTGGGTTTCCCCCGAGTGCTTACTTCTGCAACCCTGGGAACACATCTGGATGTGGACTGCATGCTCATACAGGTGAAAAGGAGCCACGTACACTGCCTGGAATCTGGGTGTGAGTCAGTGATGCAATTAACAGAAGATAGAGTGAACATAGTATTGGCTATACATCCCACTCGTTGGCCAACAGCAAATGAGATAAGTGAAGTAGTACAGGGCAAAAACGGCTCAAGGAATATCCCCTTCACGTGGCACATGCTTAAAGGTGTACTGCTAATGCAGTCAAAATGAGATTACGCTATGAAATAAACATGTACTTTAGCAATGAGCTCAAGCACAGTGGACCCAGAATCCATTCTAACATTAGAAATCAAACGAAAAAGTGCCTTGCCTTTTTCTCAAGAGCACTGAAGTCCAGCCTAGCAGACTTCTTGAGCTGGTGGTTCTCTTTTTAACTGTAAAATGACATTGGCAGGTATTTCTAGTCCTATACATAAAATTTTCCCATGTTATTTCTCCACTCTCTTTTGCTCAGGGGTACCTCAGGATACGAGGATTGAGTTGTGTTGTACTGTTCATCAGTTCCTGTTATATATCTTTAGTTGTCCTAGAACAGACAATCTGAATCCCTCCATCCTGCCCTACACAATTCAATTCACAATTCAATAAAATAAAAGGCAAAATATTACAGGACAGCCTAAGGCATACAGTAATACATATTGCTTTTCTTGATGCCACCGAGGAACAGCAACAGAAATGTCGAGAGTATTACCTTGCAACTCATTGCCTGGAATCGTAGTAAAGGGTGTAGTACTGCTGGAGTTGTTCGACTCTTCATTTCATACATAAAAAAACAAGAATAATAAGATAGCTTTAGGTGCTTTATTACTAAGAAGCAAAAAAAAAAAAAGTGTAGTATCTGTCACTTGCTTTGGGCAGATAAACGACTAACCTACCATGGAGAGGAGTAAGGTATAATGACTATACAAAAGCACGGTACCACAACGGCCTGCTCTCAGCACATTAAAAATGACAGCATTTGCACTACCCAACCATCAAGTGAACTGTAACTCCATCCCAACCGTCCCATCCTCAGTTTTATCTTTCCCATCATCACCATCCCAAGTTCTCTTTTTCCTAAAGAGGAAAGGAAACTAAAAGAAATAAGAGGCCGAAAATCAGGCCCCTTCCTTCAGTAATAACCCGTGACCAACATCATCTACAGCAGAAGGAAATGACCTTCACACACAAATCTTTTTCTATAAGGTCTACAAGGCCTTTGCAGGCGGATGAGTGTGTACTGTGCCCCTCCATGCACAGCATGATAAGTCAGTAAGATCCGCTAAGAAGGTGCATTGCTTAGTTGGGGACTAACTGCATGTCCCACTAAGGCATCCACTGAGCATCCAGCAGGTGGGGAGTGGGACAGAGAAGGATCACACCTCTGGTGAAATATCATCATACCCTAACGACTAATTGAGGCCTGATTACTCTGTTCTCAGGCTTGGTCTACAAACACGTGGTAAAACTTAGAGATAAATACACAGAATGAAAAATCTGGCATTCACACGCATACAAGAGGATCTGGTTGTTGAATTCTGCCTTTGCAGAGTTTAGTTTCCATCACTTATAACAACATTCTGCCAAAGGCAAGCAACCAGCCCTCACCAAGTGTCACAGAGACAGGCCATTTTCCCACTAGTTACAAAATGTTAGTGAAGATCTCCAAATGGTGAAGTCTGCAGATAGAAATGATAAACCACTCCTCGTATCTCAACCACGCAATATCCAGGCTGATATTGCAAGACATGTTAGACTGTTTAATTAGGGTGCTTAGGGAAAGCAAACAAACAAAGGAGGATGGGACACTGCTGAACCACGCTTCCCCAGGAAGGACTCAATCCTGCAGACAGTCGTTTACATCAGAGCTAGTCCCACCCCATTTAACAATGATCTGATTGAACAGAAAACGGACATTATCCTCCTCCCCAACAGCACACAATGTTTTTTGCTGTCTCAACCAGCAGAATGGGCTCCCTGTAGGATTAGATGAAAGAAGGGGGCAGGAACCAGAGGTGGGAGGGCAGACAGGACTGTATTAGCCCTAGTTGAGATCCACTTGGACTGCACACCTTGAAAGATGGCAAGGACTTCATCCAGCTTAAAAGACACAACCTTTTTCTTTTTCCCCTCCCTAAAAAAAAATACAAACAAAACAACCCCAAACATTGGTAAGTTTCTTAATTTGCATCACAAGCAGTTGCTCCAGAACACAAACACATCTTACTACGGGGTACTGCATGAGCGTGTGCCACATCGGAACCCCTGGCAGTGAACAGGACAGGAGAGAAAATCTTAAAATGCCACTATTCCCAAACTGTTCTCTGTCCTCAGACTGTGGGTTTCCATTTGAAGCCAGGCGTATGGTCGCAGGGACAGCAGGGGACTTCAACCAGGGAGGTGGGAAGGACATCCTGGGATAAGGCAAAGGGATGCAGCGATGGCTCCGCCAACTGGGGACTCTCATTTGGGACCACAGGCAGCAGAGGGCAACCGGCCCAAAGCCAGACAGTGAGGGTGTCTGGCCCTCTCCAGGGAGCAGAAGCCAAGGGCTACAGGTCTGCAGGGAGCCAGGTGTGAGGAGGGGAAGGAAGGGGGGAGAAGCCAGCGGCCAGCTGCAGGGGCAGAGCTCTTTGGGACACAGGATTAGCTCCAATGTTGGGCCTGGAAATCTTGAGCAGAGAAACTCTGTGCTGCTGATGCTTGTTCCCACCACGATCCAGAGGAAAGAGGGGAAGGAAAAACAAAAAGAAAAAAAAAAAAAGAAGGATCTCTGTGGTCATTTTTCACAATGAAACACAATCCAACCAAGGAAATACCCAACTTCAAACAATGCACCAAAGCACCACAGACTGGAAAAGGAGAGAGAAAAGGGATCAACAACATTTATTGTCAGACAAATCTGTTTTCCTGTTTAAGGTCAGGCGCAGATGCAGCTGAAAACATAACTGCTGGTGGCTGCCCGGGGTGCATCTGAAGGCAAGCATGCTTCCTGTGAAACACCATGGCACTGCTTGGCGTGCTCTTGTGGTTTTGTTGCTCTAGTGCGTAAGAAGTCATGAGTTGGAGACTAACCAAACTTTCAAAGGAGCAAAATCAGGCCAGTTCTTCCAGCTTTATAGCTGGAATCCAGCTTCCAGAAGTGGCATTCGGGCACAGGAGATGAAGATCCCTGCTTGTGCTAAACACATCGATAGGTGTGAGAGACAGAGAGAGCTCTGATACTTGTCAAAAATGAACAGGACAAGATTTTAAACAGGCTTGATTTTGCCAGATCCTGCAAAAATCACCACAGGGAATTAATAGCCATGGACCTTTAACAATAGGAATCTGTAGTTTCCGGCTCAACCATGTACCAAATTACTGTTCTCTGTAGATGAAGCCTGGTAGAAGAGCCACACGCTGATGAGTGGCACCACTCATTGAGGTCATTGCACGTGACAAAGGTCAATTTGCCCACTCCTGCATTCACATGGAGGATAAACACATTTCTAAGGACTCACAGGCTTTGTGTCTAGTCTAACTCAACCTCACGTTGCAGCAAGATGTTGGTATATAAACTCACATAAGCACAACGTTACCTATTCATTTTGAAGAAATTTCAAAAGTCTTATATAAAATTCTGCCTGAGCATCTTTTTTGTTTCAAATTTGATGCACAGCAGGGAAGCAGGAGAGTTTTATGCCAAAGCCATTACACTTTTGTTGGTTTAAAAAACAAAAATTACAGAGGCACTGGCTATGTGCAGTCCATCAGAAAGATCTCTGACTTGCATGGTAACCTCTGAACAACCCAAATGAGTAACAGTTGAGGTGCTGGAAGCAGATAATATCTCTGTTGAAGCAGAGATATTAGAGCTGCAACATGAATATAAACATCCCCTAGACAGTCTCCATAAGGATACTTGTTCTTCTCAGTTGAAATGGATGAAACTCAAATTCTGGAGATTAAACCAAAACCAAGCCTATGATCCCAAATCTATTGTAACATCTGCCAGGAAGTTTTGTCAAACAATAAATTAAAATCCCCGCTATCTGGAAACTTTGTATTTCTTTTCCCTTTGACTCAACAAGGTCTTTTGGTACCTATTTTCAAAGTGGTGTTCTTGACCTACCAAGAAGGTAGGTCATCCTGAGACAGAGGCCGGGCAGGCTTATCTCAGCAATGTTTTAGACAGGTCCTCATGCCTTAGCATTGTGAAACTACCTCAGGGTCTTGCAAAGGAAAGCATAAACACCACTGCATAGATGCTTAAGAAAACAACACAAACCTAAGTAACTGACTCTCAACCCTGGTCAATCTGAGACTGAAAAACCACACCACCTTTTGCTGTGACCCAGGAATCTAAAAGAAGTAAGGAGATGCACTGAAATCAAAATGCCACATCTGTTTTCAGGCCTGGTGGCTGCTGCTGGTTTTTTGTACTGGGAATAGTTTTGTAGCCAGGTGAGCTCTCGGCAGATGTTGCTAGCTGGCTTTTCTGAACACAGCAGGAAGGGCAGGGGGGCAGCTTCCTGCCAGGGAGCGTGGATTCTCCTTACTCCCTCAGCTGTCGGGAAACCAGCTGGATTTTACATAATAGTGGGAAGGATTTTCCCCAAATCATAACATTTTTGGTGATGTTTCTTCCACTGCTATGACTGACACACCAGCAGAGTAAAAGAGCAGCATTATATTGAAATAACCAGCCTGCCCAAAAATCTTAACTGGAATGAGGACAAATCTACTGCCACTTTCACTTTTTGCAAATCATAGTATTTGATGAGTGTCACGCTTTCTACTGCAGCATTCATGAGTGAATCGCAAACTTTTGCTGAAACCAACACAAATCTCAGCAGTAGTTTCTGGAAGTTTCTGAGTAAGTAAAAAAAAAAAAAAAAAAAAAAGATACTTCGATAGATATGCTAGAATGAGCCTTAAAAGGGCACAACTTCTCTCAACCTATTATAAATGGGGTCTAGACAACAAATTCACATACAGAGGAAGGACTATATTTGACTGTTAAAAGTTAGATGAGCTCATCCCTGCCCCAGGAGACAGCACTGGCTGCACACTGAGTTAAACCAGAATATGCGCTCAGGAAACAGCGTGATAAAAGGCAGATCAGGCCAATCTCATATCGAATGAAACGACAGCCTATCGCTGTAAAATGGAGGGATCTCAGCAAAGCAGTGAACATGTTACCCCTAAACTTCTTCCAAAAAGCTTCTTGTTTTTGGAAGGGCAATTACAGAGCTGTTTGTGTCCCTCATTTTACTGTTTTTTTGGGGTACAGTTTATACTGTCGCTTCACCAGGTTAAGCACCAGCACAGGAACACCGCTGGACTGAGCCCTATTCCCCCACGTTGTTTACGGCAGGTTAGTTTTGCTACTTTTCTCTCAGTTTCTTTTCTGCGGGACGTTGCGGGGCACCGTCCGGGCAGGTCACTCTCCCGAAAAGGCAACTCCGGCAGCTCAGAGTTTTCCATCTCTCACCGCATTCGGGCGCACGTCGACCCTGACTCCCCTCCCCAAAATCTGCCCTTCTCCCGCCGGCGCTGAAGCACAGGGGGCTGTGTATCCACCACGAAAGAGAGGATTTGCTGCAAGGGCCTGACAGGAACGCCACAGAACGCAACAGCAGGGCCGCGGTGACCCCCAGGGCTGCGGGACGCCGCTCTCCCCAGCCCCAGAGCTGCCTCACGGAGCCGGGCACCCCAGGGCTGCGGGACGCCGCTCTCCACAGCCCCAGAGCTGCCTCACGGAGCGGGGCAAGCAAGGCGCCTCCTTCCAGCCCAGCCCCGCCGCTCCCCGGCTCCTCCACGACCCTCCCCGTCCGGACCCCGACGGCGGCCGGGTCCCTGCTCCGCGCCCCGGGACACCCGCAGGGTCCGGGGAGCGGGACGTCCCCTCACACCGCCTCAGGGAGGCCGTGCCGGAGGAACGGAGCGGAGCAGCAGCGCCGAGCCCGCCCCGGCCCGTCCGTCCCCCCGCCGCCGCTACTCACGGGAGCCGGGGACGAAGAGGAGGAGCAGCACCAGCGCGCAGCGAGGGCCGGTGAGGATCCGCATGGCAGCCGAGGAGCCGCCGGGCCCGCACCGCCACTGCACGCCGGGCCGGGCGCTGCCTGGCGGGGCGGGGCGGAGCGGGGCGGCGTCCTGCGCCGGAGGCGGCCGCTGCTCGTCCCGCCCCGCCCGGGGCCACCGCCCCCCGGGGGGTGTCTCTCCGGAGTCCCCGCCCGTCCTCCTTCCCGACGGGGTCCCCTCCATCTCCACCGCTGCCGTGCCCTCTTCCCTCCCAC